GCATTTGAACATGAACTGCTTCAGTATCTGAGGAGTCACGAATGGTGCTGATCATTGTGCAATCATTGGCGAGCATCCCCACTTCTGAACTTATGATAGAGGTAAGGTCATTGGTGAAGCAACTGAAGATGGTTGGGCCTAGGACACTACCCTGAGGAATTCCTGCAGAGATGTCCTGGAGCTGAGACGATTGACCTCCCACAACCACGACCATCTTCCTATGTGTCAAATATGACTCCAACCACCGGAGTGTTTGCCCCCTGATACCCATCGATCCTAGTTTTGCTTGTGGTTGAGAGGTATGGCCACTACTACAAGAGCTCCTTCCAGATAATTATAGAATAATGGACTTGTTGATTTACCAATTGTTATCAATTAGTCTATATCAAACCCCCAGAACGAGAAGCCGTAAATCCAAGTTGCAAAAAATTTGGAAACCACAAGTCTCAAGTAATTGACTCCTCCTCAATAGACTATACTTCTCATGTTATGTCTGAAACTTGCTACACCGTATTTGAAAATGTTATTTCCTGAAAGAAAGCTATCTAATTTGCACTTGAGTTAATTAATACAGCGCAAACTGCCTTCCTGGCAAATTGATATCACCTCACTTTTCCATTCTTTTGTGTTACATGTACCCATTCAAGTATGGAATAAGTCCTCTGCTTCTACTGTGTGGACAAAGTGAAACAGCTTTTAATTGTTAACCTTATCTAGTCTTTTTAAAATCCTACAAACACAACAACTTCACCTCCCAAAGTTTTGCTTTGCCTAATTCAACTTTGGTTCAGTGAGAGAATTCTTGCCTTTGGTACAGCAGATTGTGGTTGAAGACCCATTCCAGAGACTTTACCATGTCATATAGAATGACATTTCAAGGTAGTCTGAGGGAGTACTACACTGATAGAAGAATTGCTTTTCAGGCAAGATGTTAAAGTAATGCACACTTACCCTGTTTCAGTGAATCTAAAATACCTCATGGCATTAGAAAAGGTATGGTTAACATGCATGCTATTCATCAAGAACTGAGTGGGTCACTCATTTATCTATGCACTATTTGCAAGATCTCGCTATGTGCAAGATGGTAGCTCTGGTGCCTAAAGTGCAATAGTAACTATTTCGCAGAAATAATTCAAAATGCAAGGCACTTTTGAACATCATGAAGCTATAAAATGTATTATATAGCTGTAACTTTTTTCATTCATTCTGATAACAGATTTAATAAAATGCCCCTAGAGTGTACAAGAGATGTTGCTGAAAATAATATTAACCTAGTCTTAAAAGGTTTGCCATAAGTGATCAAAACCATTTTCCAAATTTCAGTTTAGATTTTTAAAATGTACATTTCAGAAGAACAACAAATGTAATTTGTAGTGTTAAGTAAGTGTTAGGAACCATACTTAATCCAGATTTTTCCTAAAAATTAAGTTAGTGGTCTTTCATACTCTCGTATATGTTCATTACTGAGGATCATTTTTGTATTTTAAATTCTACTTTCTGTTGTTTCAAGGTGACAAGAAGACTTTTTCTGTCTCTGTTCTATGCCAATGTGGCATCAGCCAGAAACCAATGCTGCTGTTCCCTCAAAGTTGGTAAGAAGCAGGGAGGACTGAATTCACTGGGTTCATAGGGCAGCCTGTTCAATAGGATTCATCCTTTCATTGCTGGAATCATGCTACCTTCGTCAGCTCCATTGTCACCCAGAGGTCCAGCGAAACAATCAGAATGTCACCCCGCAAAATGCAATCTTCCATTGTTTGGCCCAAGCACAGAACCTTATGCTTTCCCTATTTGCCCGTCCATCAACCGGAGGCAGGAGATAATGTGTAACATTGTTTACCATATGAACCCAATTATTTTCCAGCAACAACGGGCTTCTGGAATGAGAAGTCTTAGTTGTTTAGAATTTGGAGGAGAAAACAGGCCTTTAGGCTATTAGATTCCCTCAAGACGAATCTTAATGCAATTCATATTGTGACCCTGTTTCAAAAAAAGTCAGATTTAAACAAGAACATACACAGGGCAGGACTGTTTACGTTACCTTGTTAGTGAACCGACAGGGTTCTATTTGCTGCACATTGTAAGAGACGTAAACTGTTGATTTATTTTGGAAGAATCAGACCGTAAGCACACTTCGTTTTGGTGTTGGGCAAGTTTCAAATGGATGAATGCAGAGCAGACAGTTACGTATCACACCAGAAAAAAAAAACTCGGGGCGAGGAACAGTCCATCACACATAATTCCCAAAGATCTGAGTTCTGCAGTTTCAGGTAAAGTTGACGTGGTGTAAGATTACTTTTACAAAAAGCTGCCCGGAAATTGCTTTTGTTCGATTGTTTTGTTTTTGTTTTGAATCACACTGGCATGGAGGTAGATGGAAATATCGCCTTTCAGATTTCCCAAACAATAATGAGACTGCTTAACATTTAGGCAGAGTGAGCAGGAAAACCACATTTAAAATAAAACAGCGATTTTCTCCGGCCGCCAGCGTTTCTACACAATACCCGTCTAACTCTGCAAAGCGCTGGTAGAGCATGTACAGCTTGCTTTGGGAAATGTGCAAGAGCTCTGATCAACTCATTCGTGTTTTCTGTCCAGCCTTTTCCACAGTGTTGAGATACCCCTTCTAATGCGCTGCTAGCCCTCGATCAGATACAACAACTTTGACGTGAAACCGAGGTGTAGTCCAGAACTGGGAGCGCTGGTCAAACATCGCTCGAAAAGATCAAGTCTCAGTCAGAGAGTTTCCACATTCATTCGGGACTTTACAATGAGGTGCAATTTGGATTAATTCATACCCGTTTCTTATCTGGACACGGGGTTATTTTTCTCACACAGAAAGCGTGAGGAATAAGCTGTTAAAGGTGTGGAAATACAGTGGAATGGCAGTGAGGATGCTAAATTGTTTTGTGGAGTGGGGAGGGAAGTGTGGTGAGGTGCTGGGGGCAATCTTTTTCTCGTGTCTAACAGCCATTTCTCAAGTTTGAGGCGTGTGACTGAGTCTGATTTCTCTGTGAGTCTATTTCAGCCAACTGCAAGCGGCTCGCTTTTCAGGAGGGTGGCTCGCTCTCTTGCTTCTGAAGCTCCAAACGTTTCCCTGTATGGACTTGTGCCGAGTCCTGAAGGGAGGGGCGGGGTGGGGAGCGCACGAATGTCGCCACTGAGGCGGAAAAGTTGATTATTTCAAGCTCCCGTTCTGCTCGACATGCTCGCCTCCTCGCCCAGTCTGGGCGAAAGTGATACGATGCGGCAGGATTGCGAGCAATTCACCGTCTTCCGCACCCTGCCCAATGCGCTCAGCAAACTGCAGGAACGCGTCACTTCAGCAGCACCCCCGTCTTTAATTTATAAAACAGAGCCCTTAAAAACTGTTCCCGGAACAATAGGAAGTCTTTGTGGAGAGTCGGTCATTGAAATATTAACCCAAGGTCTGGAACCTGAATTAGAGGGTTTTATAAATGAATGCTCCAGTGATTAGACCTTCAGTGCTGGTAGAAGACTAAAATCATTTAGAAAGCTTAATCCGTGGTCCGCAGAGGATCAATATTTTATGCCAGAGTTAGGCAGAGCAGTGTGGCATAAGGCTGGTTCCTCTCTGGTTTTGAAGGGTCACCGGACCCGAAACGTTAACTCTTTTTTTTCCTTCACAGATGTTGCCAAACCTGCTGAGCTTTTCCAGCAACTTTGTTTTTGTTTCTGATTTACAGCATCCGCAGTTCTTTTGGTTCCCATTCAATTGAGTTCAGTTACATTTCACACATACACACACACACACACACACAAAGTCCCTGGCCATCCCAATTGGGGAATGTTATATCTCGCAAGTGCCGCTGTCCCCCATTGGTTCAGACCAAACACGCCGAGCAGAAAGCCCTGTAGCCACCGAGCGGGCGGCTTGTTTTTATTTTGGAATCGCGCCCGGTTCCCGTCTCGGGGAGCCACAACGTTCCCCTTTATGTGATAACCGCTTCCTGCGCCGCAATCTGTCAGCGCTTTCCATCAACCCCGGGGGGAAATCAGCCAGTGCTGAAGGAGGCTGGGGGACGCCACTCGGCCCATCGGCTCTGTTCCAGCTTCTTGAGAGAGAGAGAGACTCCTTCCACTGTTTCTAACTTTATATCCAAGTGCCCCTTAAAGGTCACCCTCCCGGACCTGTGAACGTTTAAAGTGCACAATCTCTCCCAATGGGGACAGGTGTAGGTGATTTATCCCTTTCGAGAAGGATCGAGTGAGGAATCCCTCAGCCAGACCACCTTTCCAAGAGCTCACTCCAAGATCAGCGGGGCAGGTGGAGAGATAAGGACATTTAAAACAAAGGCGCAACAATGATAATGGTGAGAGGTGAACGCTTGCGGCTTAGAGCTGTGCTCTGGGCTGGGGAGATTGTAACCTGCACTCTCTTCTCCGGGTGATTGGCCAGGTTCTCCACGACCCCGTGAGAAAATCTACATAGTCCTGCTCAGTGGAGCTCTCTGTCTCTCTCCCTCACTAACACACACACACACACTCACCCGCACACATACTCCCCCCACCACACACACACACACACACAAACACACTCTCTCTCTCCCACACACATACTCACCCCCACACACAGACACTTCCACACACACACACTCTCTCCCACACACATACTCCTCCCCCACACACACACTTCCACACACACTCACACTCTCTCTCCCACGCACACACACACACACTCCCACACACACACTCTCTACCCTCAACACACACACTCTCCCCCCAACCACACACACACACATACATTCTATTACAGGTGAAATGACTCTGGCTACCTTATACCGATACAGTTTGAGATGGAGAAAGTTCCTGACAGTATACAATGGTCAACATTAACTAGCTATCTCTGATACTTTTTGGGCAATACCTTTCACTCATCATGAGGGAGTTTGAGAGATTTGAACGCCTGATTGCTACAATCTGGGGACAGGCCATCCAGACTGTGGCACAGCCACCATCACATGCACTCGTAGACTTACAGGTAGGAAGTGAAGGTGCTGAGGTTAGCAGGGATCGAGTCCAGGTCCAGATCTGAGCAGTCCACCCGCAGCAGGATGCCATCCTCTTCGCAGTGACAGGGGCTCGGGCAGCCGCTGTTCCTGGGCTGGCCGCCGGACGGGAACCCCAAGGGCAGCAGCAGTAGTAGCAGGGAGAGCCGGAGCAGTAGCCCCTTCATGGCTGGATGCACTCGGAGGGAGCAGGGCTGGAAATTTGGGGTCGGGGGGGAGCCACTTGGACTTGTCACTCTGCTCAGTGCCACATTCCTGGCTAGCAGCAGCAACACCACAGCTTTGCAAGCTGCAGCGGGCTCTTTAAATAATCATCCCCGCCTCCCGGGCATGGTGGTCCCGCCCACTGGTGACAACAACACCCAAAAAGGCGTGGCCTTTACGCCTCTCCCCCTATCCTCCAATCACCTGCTCGTCTCCAGGGTTGGGGGGAGGCACGGAGAGACAGGGCGTCTCTCCAAGGTAACTGTCAATCACCTCCCCAACCTGCAAGACGATTGCAAACTGCAAAGCCCAGACCCCCAGTAATATAAAACCATCCCCAGCTGAACCCTCACCCCGAAACCTGAATGCTCAAAGGAGCCAGGCTCACAATGCACCTGCAAAGCAACATCCAACATCAAAACAAAAACGCTACAAATTATGAACCACCTCCAGATTCTGGAACAAAAACAGAAATTGTTGGAGAAACTCAGCAGGTCACCGGGCTCGAAAGTTTAACTCTGCTTTCTGTCCACAGATGCTGTCAGACCTGCTGAGTTTCTCCGGTAATTTTTGCTTTCGTTTCAGATCTCCAGTATCCGCAGTTCTTTGTTTTATATTGCCCAAATTATGGAAATCGTTTAAAGTACGAACACACTAAGTCTCTTAACCTACAGCACATGGACTGCAGCGGTTCAAGAACGCAGCACACTGGCAACAGGGGCAGCTAGGGCTAGGCAATAAATGTGGCCAGCCAGCGACGCCCACATCCCAAGAAAAAAATAAAAGTCTCCCAAACACCTCAAAAAATCACGCGAAGGTAAAATAATGATTATAACAACTTCATGCAGCTTTGTCGCAGCAGTCTCATTTATTGGCAAGGTACTGCATTTCTGACATCAGAGCTTGTTAACCAGAGCTAAGCAGTCCAAAGACGTGCAGGTTAGGTGGATTGGCCATGCTAAATTGTCCATAGTGTCCAGCGATGTGTGGATTAGGTAGATTAGTCATTACATTAGCGTTACAGGGATAGGGTAGGGTGGTGAGTTTGGTTGGGATGCTTTTTGGAGAGTCCGTGTGGACTTGTTGGGCCAAGTGGCCTGTTTTCACACTGTAGGGATTCTACAAACTTCACTAGGTAGGTCATGTGGTTGACATGAAGGGTTCCCACCTCCAAAGGCAATATTCTATAGCCTGCAGAGCCTGCACAATAAAACACACCAAACCTAGAGAAGACAATCTGAAAGCTGATCACAGTGCTTGCAAACTAAATCTTAAATGGAAAAATCAAAACTTTGCCAGACCTATCATTAAAGGGTTCCAACAGTTAAGGAGGACAGAGTCAAATGCCTTCAGGATAAGTAAGTGTTCCACAACTCCAATGCATCCATCCATCCATCCCATCCAATACTGACTTCATTTCTTTTATTATTTATTGTCCAGGACAAGTTTGTGATCTTGAGCTGCTGTAGTCCATGTGGTGTAGGGACATCCACAATGCTGCCCAGAAGAGGGTTCCAGGATTTTGACCCAGTGCCAATGAAGGAGTATTCCAGAATGGTGTCTTGTGGAAAGGCACATAAAGGTGATGGTGTTCTCATGTTTCAATACCCTTATCTTTCTAGGTTGTAGAGGTCACGGCTTTGGAAAGTGCTATCTTGGTGTGTTATTTCGGTGCATTTCATAGATGACACATACTGTTACCACTGGGTATCAGCTGTGGTCAGACTGAATACTGAATATGTTAGATGAGGTGCCAATCAAGTGGGCTGCTTTGTCCTAGAAGGTATTGAGCTCCTTGAGTGTTGTTGGAGCTGGACTAATCCGGGCAACTAGTGAGCAATCAATCACAATCCTGACTTCTGCCTTGCAGGTGGTTGATCCTCTTTGAAGAGATAATACATGTGATACTTGCCATTTCAAGTATGGATGGAGAACTTTTTTTCCTGTGTAGGGACAGTAGGTTTGCAGGTGAGAAATCAAATGAGGTAAAGATTCACAAATTCAAAACAGAAAACGCTGGAAATATTCAGCAGTTCTGGCAGCAGCTGTACAGAGAGAATTCCTAACCTGTGACCTACTGTAGCTAAAGTATTGCTATAGCTGGTACTCCTGTGCTGTAGCTTCATTGGGTTGGCACTCATTTTTAGGTGTTACTCCTGGCATATCTTACAGTGCTCATTAAACCAGAGTTGATCCCCTGACTTGGTGATAATGCTAGATTGGGACAGGTAAGGGACCATTAGGTTTTAGACTGTGTTTGAAAGCACAGGCCTACAGTGCCTTATCAATAAGTTGATAGTCCTATTCAAAACATACGCCATTTAGGTAGTACTGCCATACAACATGAGAGAGAAAATTGCAATGTGCAAATGGGACTTTGTCATCGCAAGGACTGTGTGGTGCTTACTCCTACTGTTACTGTCATGGACAGATACATCTGTTACAGGTAAATTGGTGAGGATGAGATCAGGTAACTTATTCCTTCTTGTTTGTTCCCTCACCTCCTGCTGCAGGGCCAGTCTAGCAGCTATGTCCTTTGTGAATCTATCCCTCAATCCAGTGTATTGTCTATTCACTCACCACCTTCAACATGTCCCCTAAGTGGTTGTTCAACATGGAGCAGTACTTACTAGGTTGAGAGGCTGGAAGGGGGAGACAAGGTGCTAGATGGCAATCAATAGAAAGTTTCTTTAGGTTAGACCTAATATCAAAAGAATTCATTAGATTCAGAATCAGTGTTAAGGACTCCTAGGGCAACTGCCTTCTGTTTGTATACCACAGTGTCACCGCCTCTGAGACAAGACATATTGAGGGATAGTGACGATGGTGGCTGTGACATTATGTGTAAGGTACGATTCTGTGAGAATGACAATGTCAGGCTATTAGTTGACTATTCTGTGAGGTAGCTGTCCCAATTTCAATAATCTTAAAATTTTTAATCTTAATAAGAAGGACTTTGCAATGTCCACAGGGCCACTAAAACAAAATAAAGAACTGCAGATTCTGAAGATCTGAAACAAAAACAGAAATTTCTGGAGAAACTCAGCAGATCTGGCAGCGTTTGTGGAGAGAAAACAGAAGTAAGATTTTGAGTTCAATGACCCTTCTTCAGACCCTTCAAAGGGGCTGAGTTTTTCCAGCAATTTCTGTTTCTGTTTATGCCATTCTTGTTTCAGGTTGCTTGCTCAGTGATCTGGTTTCATATATTTCATCAGTCCTTTAGCAGTTGGGCACAACTGAGTTTTTTTGCCCCAGTGGATTTAAGAGCCAACCACATTGCTGTGGGCTTGGAGTCACATATACGTTCGACCAGCTTTTTCCTAACCTCAAGGTGAAAGCCTTAATGAATCAGATGGGTTTTTACACCAGTTGACAATGGTTTGCTAGTTAATTCCATCAGTTCCAGATTTTGTTGAAAACAAATGTCACCGTCTGGTATTCAAGGCCATTTCTCTGAGAGCATTAGCCTAGCTCTCTGAACTATCAGTCTAACAAAAAATACCACTGAGCACAGTTTCCTGTGGAGCAGTATTCACAATGGGTTATGCAATTCCACACTTGATGTCAAACATGAGATGACAGGTCTGTTTTATTTTGCTGAACATTTATCCATCAAAGCAAAAGGGGAACATCACACAGAATAACAAAAGAATGAGGGAACAGTGACCTGAGTATGGAGAGAAGGGAGGATGGCATTTAGGGCAGGGACTGAGAACTCTGCTGTTTTTTTTGTGTAGGGAAGAGTAGGATTGCAGGTGAGGACAAAGGCAGCGGTCAAATCAGGTAAAGATTCACGGAATAAAAACAGAAAATACTTGAAATATTCAGCAGTTTTAGCAGCAACTATGCAGAGAGAAGCAGTTTCAAGATTAAGGGTTTAAGATTTAAAAGGGACCTTAAGGTGCGACTTTTTCATGCAGAGGGTGGTGTGAGTATGGAATGAGCTGCCAGAGGAGGCGGTGGAGGCTGGTACAATTAAAACATTTAAAAGGCATCTCCGTGTGAATATGAATAGGAAGGGTTTAGACGGATATGGGCCAAATGCTGGCAAATAGGACTAAATTAATTTAGGATATCAGTTGGCATGGATGAGTTGGACCTAAGGATCTGTTCCATGCTGTGTATCTCTATGACTCTAAGTTGAAAATGACACTTCTGAAGTGGCTGAGATCCGTGTAAAGCGCCAGTTTACGCTAAAGTGAGAAAGCAGCGTGAAACGGTGCACCCTTGAAAAACACATAGTTTTCTACAGAACTGAACTAATACTTCTTCAGAAGTGCCTGTAAAACCGCATTCTCTCCAAACTTCAAATTGAACCTGTGCAACACGGGACAAACATTAAAAAAAAAACACGATGTGTGGAACATACGCCAAAACAAAAGCGGATACTTCCTCCACACCCATGGGGAACCACCCAAAAAGTTAACTATAACTTTCCAAAGTTTGCCCTGTTTGCCGCACTATTGTCCCGCTAACAACAGCGAAACCAACCCAAAAAAATCGGGCAGCGTTGCTGTAACGAGGCATACTGTTTCATTCAGACATCTAGAGGTCCGGGTCCTTTTCTTCAAACTAAACATAACCCGCATGCACAAATACAGTTTATTATAGGACTGGAGTGGGTGTTTAGTGGAGTGTCTCAGAATAAATATCTTTTTCTAGAGACTGGGAAAGTTAACCAAAGTTCCACAGAGATCTGAAGTCTTGCCATTGGCCTCCGCTTTGCAAGGTATCACCACCTACTCACAACGCAGCAGTGCACATGGAAAACTAGAAAGTTTTATATTGTACAGTGCAACCGCAAAAAGTACCCATTTGCAGGACTTGCTTTTTATTAGATCTCGGTCATATGTGCGATAGTGTTGTCAGGGTGCAAATTGAAATATATACGTTCATGTTACTTGGTGCATGCGATTTGAATCGTTAAAACTCGCATTAATTGGTATAAGTAAACAAAAAAACTACTTCTACAGTGTTGAGAATTCCAAACAAACCTCCTCCTTCTCATTAATTTTTGTTATACTGACATATCCAGTTCCGTGTAAAAACA